GATCGATCCATAAAATGGACTGAGCAATAGAACTACTTATCGATCGGTGGATCCAAGATAAAACGATCATGTTGCAACGTTGCCAAGCTGAAAAAGTAGGATCATTTTCCAGTGGACGTGCAATAGAACCATCTACAAAACCTAATTTATTTTTGGTTAAGAGTGCCATGGTCATGGATCTGGCCCAAGAGTGATAGTTCCTCTCATCAAGAGGAGGTGAAACCAACACCAAGCTTGGACTTTCGCTTGGATGCAGGAAGAAAGGATTACCTGGATTGGTGTAAAAATCCGGAAGAATATTGTTCAGATTCGCCATGGAAGAAACGAACCAGCAGAAAAAGATTGCAAGAAAAGAACGCTCAGTGGAAGAAGAGGAAAACTGATACCATCTTATGAACTCAGATCTTGAACATGCAAGATCAAAAGATGCAGAATCTTAACATGCAAGATGAGAAGATGAGAGAAAACCAACACGAAATTAAATGTGATTTCTGTATTATGATTGAATCAGTTAACAGAAGAGTATTTATATACAAAGAGTTCTAAGGAAGGAATTAAAGAACTAAAGAATGGTTCTAACTAACTCTAACAGAATTAACAAAAGTAACTAACTAATTAAGTTACATTGGGTTGGGCCCCTTTACTTTGTTGGGCCCAAGTCAGATTTCACTGGCAACACACTCACTAGCCATAGGAAACCCTCTTGCACATGGTGAAAATTCAGGGTGCACACCAACCTTAACTCCAAGAAAAATTCTTATATTGGTGGGGCAGACTCATCTCTTTTATCCACCTCTCGCTTTTCAGTTTCCCGTACGGCTTGGTTGTGTTCTTTATCAGTAACTGCGACCTTTACCTGTTCTTTCTCTGATTTTATGCACCAACAGTTGGTTTCTCAAGAAGCCCGGCAGTATCGAAAGCATCTTTGTTTTCCTCATTTCCTTGTGATTCTGCATAGGTTGGCAAAACGGGTCAACCCGGCTCAAACCGACCTAACCCGCGTTCAACTCTAAAAAATGAGTCAGGTTAGGGTTGACTCAAAAAATAAACGAGTCAGAAAACTCAACCCAACCTGACCCAAGCCGGGTTAGGGTTGACTCGCGGGTTGGCTCGAAAAAATGGAAAGAAAATAAAATTCTCATTTACAAAGCTGATTTTATTTTTAGCCATTTTGGATTGAACGTTCGAGTTACGACCAAATTTGGATAAACAAACCTCTTCCAAAAAGCCATTGCATCACGATAGTTATTAAACATATATCTCATCCTCTATTGAAAGAAGATGGAACTAAATGCAAGACGCAAAAGAGTAAAGATAGCCACATACAGATCTAGCAGTAGCTTCTGCCTTTTAGCTCGAGAAATAATCCACTCCACCAAACAACACCTTCTCTGTAGCAAAGAAAATCTCTTAAAATCTACAGCCACCAATTCAAGTATTTAACTCTTGCATTAACCTTTTCACACAACTCTACAGGTGGCTCAATCTGGAAAAAAATTATACACAGGTCATTAATAAAACAGATGTAATACGAATCTAAAACACAGGTCAGTAGCTTTACCTAAATTTCTACATGCTACTTGCTAGTAATCCACGGCATTTGGGTTGTCGGTGACAGTGAGCAAAGATGGAAGTCAAGTGGGGTTGGCTCTCGCTACAAGGTATTTTCGTTTGGATCTTTGGAATTAAAATTTTAGGTTTCAGCTTTTCACTTTATCTTCATTAATTTTTATGCTTTTATATTTAAAAAAAAAAACATAACTCGCGAGCCAACCCGTTTGACCCGTGAGTTGGCTCGGCTTTTTTCGAGCTGAAACGAGTCAGGCTGACTCGAGTTACTAACTTATTTTTCCTAATCCAACCCGGCATATTTTAGTCGGCTTACGAGTTGATTCATTTTTGTCGAGCCTAATTCTGCAACTTGTCATTAAAGTCTTGCAGTCTGGAGCCCAAACAAAGTTACAATAGAAAAATTATGTAGTAACCAAAACACTATAATAAAATAGAAATTCAAAACCTCAATTTAGAGAAAAACAAAGAGTTCCCCATTTAAATAAGACTAATACCAAAAGAATAATTATTGAATGAAATAAAGTGATAGGTAGCACCCACACATCCAAAAGTTAACAAATATGCCAAATCATTCTGTCAAAATTTTGGCAGTAAAATCTTGGCTGTTCAGCATTTTCCTTAAATTAACTGCATGTCAACTGAAACTCTTATATAGATGCATGCGTCTGTTTTAATTCGTGAATAAAAAATAAAAATAATCTTCAAGCGCAGGTAACGAACTAAAAGTAATAAAGGACATGTTTGAAATCTGTTTCGAAAAATTATTTTTTCCTTTCTAAAACAAAAAAACTTGATAAGATTTGTTTTGTAAAATTAAAAATTGTAATTTTTTTTTTATAATCAAATTTAAAGATATGTCTTAATTAATTTTGTGTTGTATTTAACTTCAAATTTTCAAAAAAAAAGAAAGAAAAGAAAAGCGGAAGAACAAGGTATTATGTACCTGCATCAGATAGCTAATACAAACTAAGCAGAATACATGTTTGTTAATGCATATTTTGAGAGACTTCACATAACATGTATACGCATCACATAGGAAATATGCAACCCGTGGCGTATTTCAATAGTAGAAAGCCATCATAATTGAACTTTCATGCATCAATTATCAAAAAGTGAAAGAAGTGAACTGAAACAAAGCCATCACACAGAAGTTCCAAAAGGATGAGGACTGGAACCACTCTCAACTGAGGCAAACATGCATTATTTATCATTCCATCAACCGGCACTGGATTGTTCCAGTTTAACTAGTTATCTCAAATTCAAGTATTGTGTTAAAAATATGAAAGAGAGCTTTACTGCTTTTCTTGTCCTTTAGTCGAATAATCAATGAATCGATAAAAACAAAATTCAAAAATAACAAAAGGGAAAATATCTTTAGTAATCTTATAGAAGTGAAGACTTAAATATATCAGTTGCTAAAAAATAAAAATAAAAAACACTATTCACTAAATTTTACTTTTTCTACTCATCTCTTTATTTTATAAAGGAGAAGTTATTTCCTAACAGTAAAGATATGCTCCACATAACGCCACTTAACATGTGCTTGCATGTTAATTACAAAATAAAACCAAATTAGTGGTCAATAATTGTTTTTTGATTGCTACAAAGCTCATCAGAATGAAAAAAAACTTTCATACCGATACTTCTAAGGTTGAGATTTGATTTAATTTTTTTTTTTAACTTAATTTAACAGCATATATGATAATGCTGTGCACGTGTCATGATCTCAGTGCATTGAATCTAGTACTTTCAGCTTATAATAATTTCTCAAAAGAGACTCGCCTCTTTTCCAACTAAACAGATATAACTAACTAATATAGATTCAAATTATTATTATATCGTTAGTTTCTAATTTGGAGTTAATATTAGTATAAGGGAGCAATAGAAATAAGAGCTTGGAAAAATATATTTAAAAAACCTTTACCTTTCATCACACTTGAGTTGAAATTACGAAAGCAATGCATATATCTAAGAAAAATTAATTGGAAAATGCCTGGTACAAAAAATTATGGGAAAAACTAGTCTTCAGGTCACAGGAGATGGATTTATTTTTCAACACAAACATCGATTCTTGAATTTTATTTTTTTATTTTTTTATTTTATAATTATATGAGTCTCATCATATGATTCTGAGAGTGATAGAAGATATCTTCTCTCCTGAGAATAATAAAGCACATAAATTAATTGTTAAATGATTTAGAATTAAAATGGGAAAAGAATGACTAGTCTTATCTAAATGTTTGCTTTTTTTTCTTTTTTTTTTGTAACAAAAAATGTTTGCTTTCTTTAGATTTATAGTCACACTTCGTCCAATTTCTAAAATATTTAATATAAAAGTCACTATGAAATCCGATCATAATATCCCGAAAGGAAAGTTTGGTCAAAAAGAGGATACGAAATAATAACATATCTAAGAATAACTTCATTTAATGAAATGATCCCTGAACTTATGACATGTATCGTTCGTATTAATTACTAGTTCCCCTTCCCAACCCCTTCCCACATCACTGTCGAAATTAAGGAATTTATAAGGTTTATTTCAAATTAATATTTATAAATTTACTTTTAACCACATCACAGGATGTCAGATTTTTTTTTTTTTTTGGAAATACAATGAAAACTAAAGCAACATCAAAAAAAGCCCTATACTGGCACAATCTTGGGAGACTAACTCCCCTCAAGTCATTAGGGACATCCAGCACAATCAGCTGTTCATCCTGATGAGATGCATGAGTAGCAAGCCAATCAGCAACAAAATTGCCTTCTCTATAAGTATGACTAAGCTGAATAATCCAGTCTCTTTGAAGCATGCTACGAGCTCAGATGATTAAAGCAGAAAGAGGATGACTTACGTCACACCCTTTGGATGATTAAAGTATGCTACGAGCTCGGATGTCAGATTTTCTGCTCCTTCAATCATGTCAAGTATTTTTATCGAATATGTTAAAAAATGAAAGAACCTATTTAAATTTACCTTGTTCTTTTATTACCCTATTTTCGTGATAATGAATTCTCGTGTTAAAATTTATATAAAAATTTTATGTCTATTTTTTTTTATTAATAATAATTAAACCTCACTTATTTAATGCATGTGAAGAGAGATAAACATAAAAATTTCATATGTCCAAGTCATGAAATTTTAACAAGATTCATTCCCCATAAATACATTGTTGTCACTAGAATGATAGACTCTAGAAAAAGATTTAAGCTTATTTTTAAAAGCCAAGAACAAAACACATTCCCAGACATAACATTTTCTTTGATTTTAGAAGTTGATATTAGCGACTAAAATGTGGTGCATAAGAAAATTGCTATTAGAATTGAAGTCAGAACACTATACTAAATTCATATCCAAGCAGATACAATTTAGTGAACAATGTACCAAAATTGAAAGGGGTGTTGAAATTGAAACGAAAAACTTTTTTGGGTTGGGAGAGAGAGAGAGAGAGAGAGAGAGGGAGAGAGGGGGGAGGTAACTCAATCTTCAGGTGTGGCCCCATTTGTTGAATCCATTGGCTCAGCTTCACCTGGCTCAGCTTCACCTGACTCATCTGCCTTGTCTCCTTTCTTACCTGTGTAAACAACACCATGCATTATTTGTTGTGTCCCCAAGGAAACATTGAAACTATATAAATATGCAAAATGATGCAATTTTATGCAATATAGAAGCATAATGTTACACAAGAATGCATGATAAAATAGCAACATGCTTTTCCAACCTATTATACCTTTTTTCTTCTTTCCACCACCTTTCTTCTTTGTCTTTGTTCCCAAGGCTAGCCAGGCCTTAATCTCAGGATCATCTACTGTTTTCGTTGGCTGCAATTCTTGAAGTGGATAAGATGTGATTCGATCCGATCCATTTGGCATTAGCAACACTGTGAATTTGATGTGTGCAACATAATCACCTGAAAAACAAACAATAATGTGTGACGTGAAGGCTCACATGAATCCAACACTAAAGAGGATCAAATCATTCTACTAGGCAAAATAATTTTACCAGGCTTTTCATGCAGAACAGGATATGGCTGCAAAAGCTCATGATTCACGCATTCCACTAGACCCAGACGAGCTCTTTTCTCTTCTAAAGCCCTATTGTAAAAAAAATGAACATTTTAAGTGGAAAGAGAATCCAAATTAGAACACCAATTTGAACATAGTATTAAAAACAAGCACGTAGTCAAGTTACCTAGCAGAGAATGGCATGATTGGAAATTTTTGGCTTATTTCACTGAAAATGAACCTAGATGCTTTCATCTTCAAGTGATAACTCTTGTCAACAGCCCTCTTGTAGATAGTTGTCTGCTTCTCATCCAAGAGCTTAGGCTGCAAGGGATTGAAATTTTACTTTTAAGTTAATAACTCATAAGAACCTGCATCATATTGGTAAATAGAATAATTAAATTGACCCACCTTGCCTTCTCCTGTGCTTGTTACTATATCAATTGCATAAACTTCATTCTCCTCAAACTCTGCATCATCAACCCTTGTATCTGAATTAAACAAACTAAGCACAACCTTATTCCCATCAATCACAAACTGCTTCATTTGGTGACTAAGAACACCCTCAACAATTTTACAATCATAGGCAGCAGCAACCTTTTGAATTGCATCAGTTACATCCTTGTTCTGAAAACAATAGAAAAATTGATTAAAAAATATAATAAAGATACCGACAGCTATAATGAAAAATAAGGACGTTTATGCATATTCGTTTCAATATTAACACTGTGCTGGCTAAAATAGACAAACATGTTGACAATATATAAATCAGCATAATCACAAAATAATCTCCAGCTTATTTCAATGTAGGCAACAGGGAAAGGAGGAAACCAATATATCATTAATCTCCTCGGCAAAGTTGCCACTAATAAAGGTTTAATAAATGCTACTATCTTAGATCCCACATCAAAAAAAAAAAAAAAAATTCCTCAATCAAACTAATTTTATTTTTTCACATACAATTCAATAAGTAATGGTTTGAATAACATACTATGTTGGCTCACAATAGACAAGCATACTGACTATATAAATCAGCACAACCATGAAATTATTTTCAGCCAATTCTAATTTCGGCAACAGGGAAAAGAGGAAATCAATATGGTACTGATCACCTCGGCAAAGTTGCCAATATTACAGCTTTAACATATGCTATGAGTATTGGAGTCCATATGTACATTGACAAAAGCTAACAAGAGCTGCAAATTCCTCTACATTAATAAGTAAATTAAGGGAAAATGACATCTTTATTGCATTATCATACTTAATCACCAAAAATGCCACAAAAAAATTGGATCCCATCCAGTCTAATAGGATTATGTATTACACATTAAGTGGTACCACCCTCTTAATGAATTACTCATATCCACTATGGAAGTGGTTGGTGGTAAGGTATATATGGAATAGGATGAATGATTGATTCTCCATCAGTGTAACTATGACAGAAACAGGCTTCATTGGAGTTTATCCATAGCCTATGATGTCTTCATCATATAGAGATCAGATCATCCAATGTACAATATATTATAAACCAAAATAAGATAGTATTAAGAGGTAGTGGAAAACTGGAAAGAAACATGAGATAGATCCAGCTAAGTTTTTTTTTCTATAATGTCAATCATAACAGAAAACAACTCAAGTGTTTGATTACTGTGCATAATAGCATTCATCATGCAGGTAAACTACAATAACATGTCCACAAGGCTTGAACTAACAACCAAGCATTCTCAAAAGTACAAAACAAATAGAATAAGAAATTACATATTTCAGCTAAGAGAAGTCCTAAAGATGATTAATGAGCTTAATAGGAGAGATAGCACAAGGAAAAGCATACATGAACTCTATCAGTGTAACTATGACAATAAAGCTTCATCGGAGTTTATCCATAGCTCATGATAGTTTTCATCATTTAGAGATCAAAATTCACAGAGCAAAGGAACCCCTATACACTGAACATATGAAATAACCTAATTTCTCTGCAATTTTAATGAGCTGAATATGCCTATAACCTAATTTCTCTGAACATGACCTTAAACCTGTCTACTTAAGGTACGGGTAAGAAAGATGATATGTAATAAAATCAAAATCAAAATCAAAATCAACCTATATTATAAAAATGCAGATACAGGGAAAATATTTCTTACAATTGATTACCTTCTTTCCTGGCCTTACAAGCCTCAAGGCCACCTCAGCAGCAGTGTTTGCAGCTGCAATGACATCAGCTAACCTTCCTGTAACTGGACCTTCCTGAAGAACATGAGTGTGAGCAACAGCAGCAATGAACCCATCTATATGACAAGCCATGTCACTGTAACCAACCAAAGAAACCATTACAATCAACTTCCAAGCAATAGCCAAAAACCACTGTACTGTGTCCATTTTCCCATTATTTATCACAAAATTATGCTCTGAAAAATCTTACATTTTCAATATATCACCTTCTTCCAACACTGTCTCATCACTGGCCAGAGGAGAGAAATGGCAGACTGTGTTGTTTACGGATAAGCATGTTGGGAAAGCAACTCCTCTCTCAATCTTCCTCTTCACATTCTTGTACACATTACCAGTTTGCCTTTACTCAAAAAAGCAGCACAATCCATAAGCTAAAACCCATTTAAAAAAAAAAAAAAAAAGCTAACATACCATTTACATACTATTAAAAAATACCACAGAAAAGGCTGCTTCCATTCAATTTTAAAAATAATTATAGAACAATATGAGCTTACTCTCTAATAAATGAATCCCCTTTCTCGCAAATGTCCACAATTTTAGCCTTAGGTTTACATTCTGAAATAACTAACTTCAAAGCCTCTGCAAAAATGAAAATAATAACATCAAAATTGTCTCCATGAAAATCAAAGAAATACACAAATGAAACAATGAAACCTTAGATAAATTGAAAATTGTGAATACAAAAAAATAAAAAATAAAAGGGAGCATACTTTAGCTATATTAGAGAAATTATGTCCAATGCATGAAATAACAAAAAATCAGATACAATTTGATAATAAAGGGACATTCAGAGAGTGAGAAACACACTGTTAACGATCTCAGCAGCGGTTTTGTATTTGGTGACAACTTCAGGAGAAGAGAGATCCAACTCCTTCTCCTCCCTTTCATCATCCGACATGGTATCTCACTTGTTGAATACCTGTGACTTCTAAAAACACCAAATGAAATGAAAAAAAATTGAAGAAAGCAAAAACAAAAATCAAATCTTTATCCAATTGGGTTATGAAACAGAATCAAAAACAGTGAAATAAGGAAGACCCAGATGAAAAGTTGTGAAATTGATAGGTTTTGCAGAATCACTCACAGTTGCAAGGTGGGGTTTGATTGAAGATGATGCCCAAAATTTGATGAATGAATCAGTGAGAAATGAAAGGGGTTTTAGACAGTGTAGAGCAAAAGGGGTGGCTGATAGCTTAGTGGAACTAGGGTTTCAACCACAGAGGCTGCTTTGGCTTATATAGGATTTTTCATTTTCAGTACAAAAATACAAACGTAGGGTTTTTCCTCTTTCCTTTCTCTATTATTTATTTAACTTTTATTTTTATTTAATTTTGCAGTACATTACCCTTTTGGTATTATTGCCGTACTAATGTTTTGACATTATACATAAAAACGTGGGTTAAAAAATATGAGCTAGCTTTTTTTCGGAACGGTAACATGACTTCTCGCAAGTTATCCATATCTCGAGTTATATTGTTTAAAGATTTTATTAATCTTATGTTAAAGGAGACAAGTTATTTTATATCATAGAGTAAATTTATGAGCTCCATCATCTGAAAAAAAAAAAAAATGAAAAAAGTGATACAATTATCGAAGAGTATGTATAAGAGAAATTTATCACATGTAACATAATAGTAGTTTTTCTTATTGTTTAATCAATTAACAACCATATTCCTTTTTTATTATTTTGGGCCAAAATTACAAGATTATTGAAATACCCACTGTTATTAACTTTTAGTTAACTCTCATACATATCTGTCTAGGATTTTCATTCTCCATGAGTCATGAGTGAATTTTTAAGAGTGTTAGTAAGCCTTTTTTTTGTTTTAAATATGAAGTTGCCTGTAAAAAAAATTATAATGTTACATATTATGTATTGATAAATTTATACAATTTTGATTGTGTGTAAAACTATACTTAATTTAACAACTTTGCAAGTAAAAAATTTCACATAACAAATTGTTATATGTAACTCGTTAAGTTCGAAAGCAGTGCATACTTTCCAAAAAAAAAAAAAAAAAAAAAACAGTGCATAATTTTATTATTGTTACAATATTATTATAATTGAACTAGATTGGCTTATTGATAAAACTAATTTAATGAGGAATTAGTCTTTTGATTGGTCCAACTAAGTCTCTAAAATTAAATGCTCAAAATTAGCTTCAAAATCATAGACCAATTACAAAAATAAAATATAATAATAATAATACATGTACAAATCACAATTTAGCTAGTTGAATTGGTTCGAAGTTTGTTTAGGACAAACTTACCAGCTGAAAGTCACTCTTTACCTTGTTAGGTAGTATTGAACTATGAAATTTCTCATCTTCATTCTTATATATACAGACAGCCATTAGTTTCTTACAAGGCTTCTAAGAGCTTTACTTTCTTGAGTTCTTCCACGTGTTCTCATTTAATAGTTTTTAACACCTATCTTTATGTTCTTTTCTCATGGTCAATCCTAAACATGTTTTCGATGGTAAGGCATTTTTTCTCTCCGTATAATTAACACAACCATTGAAGCATGCATTTGGATTGTTTGGCCCTATTGAGTCTATTCTTGCTCTTGCCTAGATTGGGTGGTTTTCAATGGCTCCAAACATGTGGACAACTTCAAGGTTGATTGATGTATTCAATCCAAAAATTTAAGCTGTTGAATAATGATTTTTTTAATAGTTTATACTGTTTTCTAACACGTCCCCTCATACAATAGTCTATTAGACTTGAAAGATAAATAATGGATAGACATTCAATGAAAACATTATTAATAATTTATATCATTCTCTAACAGTTGTTATACGGTACTTGCAAAGGCATTTGAAAGCCCAAATCATCAAGGATTTAAGATGGTTTAATGTGTGTGAGAGAGAAAGACAAAGAACACAACTTAAAAACTACCGAAATCCCACTCATGTATAAGTGGTAGGTATTTCCTTGCATGCTAGTGCTAATTTCACCTTGGAGGCAGAGACATATGATTGTTGTGAGGATGGAATTTTGTTATTGCATTAGCTAGTTATAGAATGACACATGCCTAGGCGCATATCACATAATTAGGTTATTAACTAACCTCGGACTTAGGGTGTGTTTGGTACAAGAAAAATTTTTTAGTATCTGGGAATCACGATTAATGGAAATACAATAAAGAGTAAATACCATTTTTCGTCCCTGACAATTTTCACGAGGCACATATTAGTCCCTAACAATAAAAAAGGCTCATTTTAGTCCTTAATATTTGAAAAAAAGGGCCACGTTCGCCCTTCCGTTAGTTGGCATCTGACGGCCCAACTAACGGAGCACATGTGGACCGTGACTTTGCTGAGTCACCGTTAAGTATGTCAGCGTGGAAGTAATACGACGTCGTTTTATGTCTTCTTGGAGTTTTGGACAACTGACCCTAGCATCGAAGGCCCTATTTGGTCCCTGACAAATTTATCGAGGCCCTATTTAGACAAACCTTTCTTTATGACAAACATGACCTCACTGAGGCTCTATTTATATCAGCACTTTTGTGCTTGATGCTATATTTTTATATTGAATCTACACCTCTAAATAGAGTCTTCGATAAACTTGGAGCTACCAAAGCCTCATCTGATGAGGAAACAATAGCAACAAACTCAGCAATCAGAGTCTTTGAACTGCCCAAGATGTGACTCTACAAACACCAAATTTTGTTACTACAACAACTACAACAAGTCTCAGCCTCGCCATTTCTGCAGAGCTTGTAAGAGGCACTGGATTAAAGGCGGAACTTTACGCAATGTTCCTGTTGGTGGTGGCAGGAAGAATAAGAGGGTAAAAAAATCAACCACCCCAACATCTTCCTCCACCACCAAAACCACCACCTCCTCTACTTGCACCACCACTGTCTCCACCTCAATTGGCAACATGGGTGGCGGGTCAAGTAGCCACATGACAATGAATCCAACTCCTCTTGCAGTGAGTAATCAGAAAAGCATCCCTTCCTCTTTCTATCAAGTTCAAGCTTTGATTCGTCCACCATCTTTGCTGCTACAACAGAATCTGATGAATACTGGAGACTTAGAAAGCAAAGATTTTGGTATTGGTAATAGCATCTTTTTGAGTTCAACTTTGCCTCTTCCTCAAAACCAAAGCCTACACTTTCCCTTCTCAACCTCAAGCTCTTTTGACACAAACCCTTGTGCGGTATCAACTTTTTTGCGATCCTCCAATGTTTATAACTATGGGGAGGAATTTAAAACAATGGAGGAACCAACCATCAACAGCATAATGCCCAGCACAAGTGGCGGTAACACATAGCCATGGGAGATACCAGCAACAAGTGCTGGCATGGAAACTTCAAACTATTGGAATTGGGAGGACATTGATTCTTTGGTCTCAACTGATCTGAAAGATCCCTGGGATGATTCTGATATCAAACCATGAGACGGAAAAAACAAAAAAGCAACATGTGATAGTGTCTAAAGATTAGAAAGGTTTGTGGTGTTAAGGACTAACTAGGGCCTCGATAAATTTGTCAGGGACCAAATAGGGCCTTCGATGCCAGGGTCAGTTGTCCAAAGATATCACTGCTCTGGCCTTAATGGGGCGGTTTGCGAGGGTCCTAGACACACTAGAGAGTGTCAAGGTAGATTTTCCATGACTTTGTAGGGTATCAACAAAGACACTCCAACGCTATAGTAAGAATTTAAAGTGAAGTGCATAGGCAAGAGATAGAGAACATAACCTGAAAACTGTTGAAATCCCTTCCATAAATAGGCCTAAGTGGGTACTTCCTTGCACTTTGGTGTTGATTGCACATGTGATGAGAGCGATAAGGAAGAAAATTTGCTATTGTGTGAACCAATCACAAGAATACATGTGTTGTTGAAGCTATTACTGGAAACAAATTATTTGACAAGGAGAGAAATAAATAAATAAATACTCTTTTTGGTCCTCACCAAATCTCACGATGTCCACTTTAGTCCCTAGCAAATAAAAAGGCCTATCGTGGTCCTTAAAAAATTCAAAATGGACCCATTTAGTTGAAATCGTGGTCCCTCACAAATTCAAAAAAGACCCATATTAGTCCTCAAAAGGACTAAAATGGGTCCATTTTGAATTTTTTAGGGACCACGATAGGCCTTTTTATTTGTTAGGGACTAAAACGGGCATCGTAAAATTTACTGAAGACCAAAAATGATATTTACTCAAAAAAAAATTAACCCGCTCTGATACCATGTTAAAATAAAAATCATATAAATTTATCGTGGTTCAGCCATTAGGCTCACGTCCACGCTGAAAATGTTTCTCCCCCTCTCAATTATGATCAAGAAGGGGGTTTCATTTAATATAAATAGGAGATGATACAATAATTGGGTCAGGTTATTTTGTCCACAATTCAAGGTATCAAATGATTTATTATTCTTTTTATGAGTAATATTTGATACAGAATTACAATTTGATCCTAATTTGTTTCCGCTTCAACATTATTACTCTTTTTATGAGTAATATTTAATATAGAATTACAATCAATCATTGATCCTAATTTGTTTCCGCTAATAGCTTCAACAGATATTCAGAATAGGGTAATTAACCAACTTCTGACCCACATGGGTCAAGCATTGTGGATCAAATTCGGAATAATGAGTACTATATAGGCTTCGTTTGTATGTTGGGCCATCAACTCCTTCCACAAGTTATTTGATATTTGGTCAAACCATACAAGTCTTGTACGGGTTACAACCCTCTAACTCAGTTAAATGATAACTAATTGGTGGGTGAGCCATGAGTTTGGTTTCTCATATCATTGATTGATGAAAATCTAATTAGTGAAACGGTCTGAAATCAATGAGTTCTAAGTGTTGCGACATGATTTTTAGTTCTTTTATCTATGATTATGGTTATGGAGCTTCTTACTTGAGAATGTGGATTTTGAATCTGATTTGAGTGGTGGTGTTGGCATATGCATGTGTATTGTTCCATGAATTGCTAGCTTGTAGCTTCAAAAGAAGACCACAACCAGTAGGGTGAACTTATCATTTGCAACAAAAGAATGAAATTCTCATAAAATTCTTAGGAAGAAACAATTTCAATTGAAAGACTACCAAATTGTCGTGTTCCATTAACATGAAAGGAAACAACTACCTCCTACCAAATAAAGATATAAAGTAATAAGAATAAAAGTAATTTACCCACTTAGTTGTACATGACAATTGTTTTCATCATATGGGATAATGACAAAACATTCTCAGAATTCCGGACAATCATTAGGTAACCTAA